CCTCCCTCTCTGAAGCGAGCTTCCTAAGTGTCATGTGACCAGACCACAGCACACACCCCCGGGGCCTTGCAGCCTGTGGGGTCCTGCCTCTCGCTGCCTCCTCCTCTCCCTGGATGGGTTCCCCACACCCTGGCACCTGGGGCCCCAGGACCTCTGCTACCTCTGCCAGGGGAGCACCCACACTGCCCCTCCCCTGGAGAGGGGGCTCCAGCAGCCAGAGCCCAGCTCGGCCAGCCTGGTATCCGTCTCACACGTGAAGAAACAGGCCCAGACAAGTCGGCGACCCGCTCCAGATGCTACGGCAGAGGCGCCATGGCAACCCGTCTGAGCACAGGACCCTGCCCTAGGCACCATGCTGGGCGCCCTCCCCTCCCCCACCGCGCCCCATCCCGGAAGCTCCCCGCCAGCGGCCACCTCTGCCTTCAGCCGCTCGATCTCGATCTCTCCGTCCTCGATCTGCTGCCGGAGCTGCTTGGCCACCGTCTTCTCCGTCTCCACGATCTGCAGCAGGTGCAGGTACTTCTGCATCAGCGCTTCGTGCTCCGTGGCCAGGGTCCTGTAGCTGTGGACAGGCAGACGGGAGGTGTGGCGGGTGCGAGGCTGCCCCCTGGTGGCTGCTGCCGCCCCTGCCCTCCCCAAACCCCGGTCCCACGCTCTGATGGCTCCAGCAGGGCCCCGTGCGCATTCTCTCTCCCTGTGTCTCACTCTTGTGCACACACCACTCTCCTGCCGGGTCTTTGCACAGCGAGGACCCCGCCGTCTCCTCCCTGCCTCCCTGGATTAACCCCATCCTCTCTCTTAGGCCAGCTGCAAAGCCACCCCCAGGAAGCCCTCCCTGGTAGCCCCTGGTCTTGATGGGGGTCCCTACAGCACCCAGGCTCCCACGTCTCCAGGTGCTGCCACTGCCTAGGCTGAGTCAATGCTGTTTGCTCCTGCATCCCCAGAGCCTGACACCATGTCTGGCAGGTGCAGGTGTGTGGTGAACATTTGCGGGGAAGGTTTGGCATCCTCGGGTGTGTCTGTCCCCAAACCTGGCCCGAGGCCCTCAATTCTCCCTCACCCTGTCCCCCTACTCCCCTCTCCACTCTGTGCCCTGTCCCAGGACCACCTGGGAGCCCCCCCCATATCTCTGGCTGTTGGCACCACCCAAGCCCCATCCCTGGGTCTGTCCTCGGCCGCAGGGCCCTCTGCCCCCCACCCTCCCTCTGGGGGCCTCTGAGCACCCAGCAGTGCCCGCCCAGCTGCTGCAGGCGTCTCCCGCCTTCCTGCTCCCATTCCTGATTGTGCTCTTCCTGCTTGCTGGTAGTGGTGGTGGTGGTGGTGGGGTCCCGCCATGTCCTGCCTGGGCCCCAGCACAGCCTCACTCAGGGCCCAGCTCATGAGAGGCCTCATCCTCTGACCTGGTCTGCCTGGGCTCAGTCCCAGCACCCCCCCACCCCCACCCCGAGGGGCCCTTTACCAAGGTGTGCCTCGGTTTCTCATCTGTAGAATGGGGAGGAAACCAGCAGCCACCCTGGAGCGTTGCTGCGAGGGCTGACTCAGCAGCAGCCCAGGGGGAGCCGAGGATGTGTTGGGCACATGTTGGCTGGAACACCCCTGGGCCCCCTCCCTCCCTGCTCTGTCCCTGCCCAAGCCCAGGGGCCTGCCCTCCCCCGTCCCCAAGGCCTTTGCTCCTCCTCTCTAGGAGCTCTTGCCCCTGCCGCACACCCACCCAGGCCGACAGAAAGATGCACACGGCACCAAGCTGTCCCCTCCATTCCCCAGACGCCCCGCCCCCACCCCACCCAGCAGTGACCCCTTTGCAGGAAGGGCAGCCTCCATCATGTACCCGTCTTCTCTCCTCCCATTGGCATCAGACGTTTGCCCCCTGGCACCCACAGGGCCTGGTCCCTCCCTGGGCCACCGCTCTCTCCCATCGGCCCAATGGAGAGGCGCGTTGGCCATTCCTGGTGTGAGCTTCCCGCCAGCCAGGACACGGTGCATTCCTGGGGGCCACGTGCGGGATGCCGGCTTCTGTCTCAGATGCGGGAGCTGCGTTGCTCAAGCTCACGCAGCCTCCGTGGTTCTAGGTGCACAGGGGACAATGACAGCTTCCCCACCACAGGAGGCTCCTCGGCTGATGGGGACAGGGAGGCTCCAGAGCGCTGTCCCCTGAGGACATCAGAGGGAGCTTCCCAGCGCAGGAAGCGGGTCGTGGCGGCAGCCGGCAGAGTGGGAGGGGCCTGGCACCAACAGGACAAGAAGCAGGTGCGGAGAGCAGGTGGAGTGCTCGCCCCGGGCTTTTCAAGGGAGACAGCAGCTGGCAGAGCGCGCGCCGGCTTGCAGCGCTGGCTCAGGACTGCGGCGGGGCTGTGCGTCTCCTAAGAGGTTTTACAGCTCCTCTAACACCCCAAGGGACTCAGCTGGCCAAGTGTCTGCTTCCGCGCCCTCACACGGCCCAGTCCCTGGTGCCTCCCCTCCCCCTAAGGCGCCAGAGCCCAGGCTGGTCCGCAGCAGGAGTGGCTGCCTCTCCTCCCCACCGCCCTCCCTCCTTCCCGTCCGACAAGCATTTCCTGGGCACCTCCCTGTGCCCTGTGCCGGGGGGGGGTGCCCTTTGGAGACAGGCACAGGCCAGAAGGGACTCACGAATCTGGCAAGGCAGAAGACACTGAGGTGGGGCTGTGTGCAGGGGGGTTGGGGAGCGACTTGTCCCGGAAGCAGCCAATTAGCGATGGAGGTGGAGTCAAGGTGTGTAGGGGGTATTCCCCTACCTGGGATGCCGGTTACAAGACACACACAGTTCCACTCTGCCCTGCACATGCGCACACACAGCCATCCCATAATGCTCAGCTACGACACATCCAGCGTGAGGGGACATTGTGTCTGCACAGGTACTAACACACCACTGCGTTTATTTTTATGCACAGAACGTATCTGTTATGCTGATGTAAATAAAAACTAAGTTGGGAATATGCAAAGATACTTAATATTCAATATGGTAGCCGGTAAAGCCTCCACCTGCGACACCGACATCCCACATGGGCGCCGGTTAGAGTCCTGGCTGCTCCACTTCCAATCCAGCTCTCTGCTATGACCTGGGAGAGCAGTAGAAGATGGCCCAAGTGCTTGGGCCCCTGCACCCACATGGGAGAACGGGAAGAAGCTCCTGGCTCCTGGCTTCGGATCAGCACAGCTCCGACCATTGTGGTCATTTGGGGGAGTGAACCAGTGGCTGGAAGACCTTTCTCTTGGTCTCTCCCTCTCTGTCTATAACTCCGTCTCTCAAATAAATAAGTAAATCTTTAAAAAAAAAACACTCCGTGTGGCTGTGGAAGAGAGCCAGTTTCTCCCTTGACACGTGTGAATGCACACACACGTGCACACACTCATACACACGCATGCACAGTGCACACACATTCACACACATACACCATTTGCACACACACACGTGGACACACAAGCACACACATGCCCACACACATGCACAATGCACACACACATTCTCACGCCAGCACATACGCACACTTACACACACATGCATGCACACGGACGCACACACACATGCCCGAGGTCTGAGGCTGAGGAAAGATGGGGGGTTGTGGCTTCCCCTAGGCCTGCAGCCAGCTCCCTGGATAAGCAGGTGATGGCTCACGGAGGCCCAGGGGCTCAGCCAGGCTGGCAAAGGGCCACTCTGCTGGGGAAGCTGACTTGGTTCCCTTGCCAGTGGGCATCACTGTGCCCCCCCCCCCCACCGGCTGAACAGGCAGTGTCCCTCCGGGGTCAGTGAGCTGATCCACACGTGACCTGCGTGGCCCACTGGCACAGCCCGGGCTCTGCAGATGTTCATGAACACAGGGCAGTTTCTGTTCAGAGGGAGCAGCCCCTTTGCTGGGGTGGGGGGAAGGCAGACACCAGTTCGGGCAATCCTGGGAGCCAGGATCGGGGACACTGCAGCCTGTGTGTGGCCCTGGTGTCACCACCCATGGCTGTCAGATGGGCCGGAGCGGCCGGCACGCTCGCTGGGGTTCCCTGAGGAGCACAGGACACGTGGTGTGGAAGAGCCTGCGGCCGGCAGGGGGTGGGGTGGAGGCAGAGGCGTCCTCAGAGGGGATGCCCTCTCTGGCAGGCCACTGGGGACGCCCACAGCCCGGCGAGGGCGGATACCGATCACATGCCTGATTTCCTTGGCCACTCAGAGCCAGGTTTCTGTTTAGTGAACGGCTTAGAACTGCCCTGCCTGCCTGTGACGGGTTTGACACCTGCCACTGGGCTCTGGTATGGGCAGTGCCCTTGCTCTCAGGATGGGGCGAGCCCCAAGGTGGGCGTGGCCTTTTAGAGTGGGAGACTGGGGAGTTGTTAGCTTGAGGATTGGGCAGGGGGTGGCCCCAGGAGCTGAGAACCAGCCAGGAAGCAGCAGCGACAGTCCACCAGGACCTGAATGCGGCCACCACACGGACTGAGCTGGGAAGCGGATTCCCCCCCGGGGCCCCTGGACACAGCCCAGCCTGACCGCCTCCTGGAAATTCGGCCACTGCCCGGCCCAGAGCGCGACCTTCCAACAACCCTGAGATGCTGGGGGTGGGGACAGGCGCTGTTCAAGTGCTGAGTCTGTGGTGATTCGCTGTGTAGAAAAGAAAATTAACACATTTTCTCTAAAATCAATAGACGTGGAGGTTCTTCGAAAAGTTTTCAGAAAAATGCAATGGAAAGATAAGTTTATCTTGGAGCCAACATGTTTTGGAACCCATCTGTTGTGTTTTCATGAACTCGTTGAAGACATCTTGTGCGTATGGATTCCAACTTGTCTTGCACAAAAAAAACTTTCCTTTCTCCCTCCCTCCCTTTGATCATTCCTTCCTTCCAGAGGCAGAGAGAGAGAGAAAGAGAGAGAGAAAGAAAGAGGGAGAGAGAGAGAGAGAGAGGGAGAGAGAGAGGGAGAGAGAGGGAGAGAGAGGGGGAGAGAGGGAGAGAGAGAAAGAGGGAGAGAGAGAGAGAGAGAGGGAGAGAGAGAGGGAGAGAGAGGGAGAGAGAGGGGGAGAGAGGGGGAGAGAGGGAGAGAGAGAAAGAGGGAGAGAGAGAAAGAGGGAGAGAGAGAGGGAGAGAGAGAGAGAGAGAGGGAGAGAGAGAAAGAGGGAGAGAGAGAGAGGGAGAGAGAGGAGCACTCCCATCCACTGATTCACAGCCCAAATGCCTACAATGGCTGAGGTTAGGCCAAGCCAAAGCTGGGAGCTGGGACCTCACTCCAGGTCTCCCATGTGGGTAGGAGGGCCTCAACCACTTGAACCATCGTCGGCTGTGTCCTGGCACCTGCAGGAACAGGGAGCTGGAATTGGGTGCCCAGGAACTGGGATGTGGGAGGTGGGCATCTTAACTGCTAGGCTGAGCACCCCCCATAAATTGATCAGTTAGCTCCATTTCCATGAACTTGGTGAAGCACCTGCCTACATCTCCCTCATTTTATAGATGGGGGTTTGGACGCGCAAACCACGGACGCCGGGATCCTGACCACCCCCACCCCTCAACGTGTCCTCTCGAACCAAGGTTAAGACAATTCCATCGCCGCGGGAAGTTTCTCCCGCCCCTTTCCAGTAACCCCTGCCTCAAAGACGACTACCGCTCTTCTCTCTGTCCGCCCAGTTCTACCGCTCCGCTCTCTGTCCGCCCAGTTCTACCGCTCCGCTCTCTGTCTGCCCGGCTAGTTTTGGCTGTCGTAGAATTCCACGCAGCTGGAGCCACGCAGCCGCACGCATGCGCTACTCTGTCCGCGGCTGCACCCGGCGTGTTGATTTCGAAGGCCTCCCGCCTCGTTGCACGCATTTGCGGGGGATTCTTTCTCACTGCTGAGCCGCATTCTATGGCACGGGTGGACCTCGCTTCATTGAGACATTTCCTGTCGATGGACGCCCGAGCCAGTTCCAGGGTTCGATGACTGTGCACACAAAACAGATCCTTTATGTATGAGACCGTGGCATCCGCGTTTCATTTTTCTGGGATAAATACCAAGAAGAGGAACTGGTAGGTCAGAGAGTAAGTGTCTGCTTAACTTTCTTTTTTTTCTTTAAAGATTTATTTTTTTTTTGAAAGTCGGAGTTACACAGAGAGAAGGAGAGGCAGAGAGAGAGAGAGAGAGCTCTTTCATCTGCTGGTTCACTCCCCAGTTGGCCGCACTGGCCGGAGCTGCAGTGATCCAGAGTCAGGAGCTTCTTCTGGGTCTCCCACATGGGTGCAGGGGCCCAAGGACATGGGCCATCTTCTACTGCTTTCCCAGGCCACAGCAGAGAGCTGGATCAGAAGTGGAGCAGCAGGGACTCGAACCAGCACCCATATGGGATGCACTGAAGGCAGCAGGCCTCTGCTTAACTTTTTTTTTTTTTTTTTTTTGACAGGCAGAGTTAGTGAGAGAGAGAGAGAGAGACAGAGAGAAAGGTCTTCCTTCTGTTGATTCACACCCCAAATGGCTGCTATGGCCGGCGCATTGCGCCGATCCAAGCCAGGAGCCGGGTGCTTCCTCCTGGTCTCCCATGGGGTGCAGGACCCAAGCACTTGGGCCATCCTCCACTGCACTCCCTGGCCACAGCAGAGAGCTGGCCTGGAAGAGGGGCAACCGGGACAGAATCTGGTGCCCCGACAGGGACTAGAACCCGGGGTGCCGGTGCTGCAGGTGGAGGATTAGCCTAGTGAGCCACAGCGCCGGCTACCTGCTTAACTTCTAAAGCAACTGCTAGCTATGGTTCCAGGGTTGTGTGGCATCTTATGCTCCTGCCAGCACTGACTCTGAGTGGTCCTCTGTGCCCCACATTCGTATCACCAGTCTTTGTCACTGAAGCCGCTCTGTTTTGCACTGTGTCTAGGAGACCCTTGGGCTTGAGGATTTGCCGAGTCAGCGTAGCCCTGGTCCTCAGAACGTGCAACCAGCCTGAATTCTTCCAAGCTCACCCACTTACAGAGCCTCTTCACATAAACTTCCCCTGACCCGCAAATCAACCCCTTGAATAGTTCCACTTTGGTGTCAGGCAGAATGAGGTCCGACTGCTCTGCTTGAATCTGGGTTCCTCTTCATTCAATTCCGTCCTCCGTGACGCCGGCAGTCTCAACTCCAAATCACAGCTCTGGCCGTGTAACGCCCCTGGTGTAAGACTCTCCATGGCTCCCTACTGCCCGCAGAACAATGGTGAAGCAGCTCAGCCAAGCTTTCAAGGCCGGTTATGGGCTGGGGCCAGCCCACCGTCCAACCTCGTCTACCTCTGACATCCAAACTGTGTCTCTTCTTGATTCTTGGAATTCCCTTTCCTGTATCAATGCTTTTATTTAAAGCCTTTAATTAATTGATCGATTGATTGATCCTTTCATCCATCCACCTACCCATCCATCCACCCATCTATCCATGCATCCACTCACCCACATCCCTTTCAACTTTCATTCAAACCTAAACACAACCTCTCTCTCTCCCCCCTCCACGCTAATCACTCTTTCTATGCCTTTATCAGGCCCTGAGAATGCAAAGACTCACACCTTGTCCAGGCCCTCAGGAGCGTCCGTGTTACAGCAACGTGGACACGGAGACATAGCCTTATACGCTAAGCCGCAAAATCTGCTGCCCCAAAGGCGCCGTAGCCCCCACAGTTCTTGGCCCTGCCAAGGGACTGTTAGCTCAGGGCCACATCCCGGCCCACAAGCCCATCACTTGCCCAGGCCCCGAGGACTCAGCCCGGCATGAGCCCCAACTGCTTGGCAGCAGGTCCTGTCCTGGGCTTCCCTCCCTGCCCGGCTCAGTGGGTCCCTTCCAGAGAGCGGGCGGAGGAGAGGGTCCAGGATTCCTGAGAGTTCAAGTTCAGAGAGGCTTAGTGGACTTCAGTCTCTAGATGAGAAAGCTGATCCCGGGGAGAAGACGGGACAAGTTCATGGTCACGCAGTACCCGGGAGGCCACGGCTGGGTTAGAAGCTCATACCCCTTTGATCAGACCGAGTCACACTAGGCTCCCCCAACGGGAGCCAAGCAGCTAGGCTGATGGAGCAGGGTGGGAGAGGGTGCTGCTGCTCCCGGTGGTCCCCCAGTGGGGAGGCACATCCCAGAGGTCCAGGCTCCAAGGGGGCAACATACAGACTTTCTCCCTCAACCCCCAGCCCGCGCTGTCCTCTGCCCGGAACTTGCGTTTGCTCATGACACAGCCCTGAGGTTCGGGCCCCTGCTGCCTACACTGCGGTTGGGGGCTTCCTTCCCCCTGGCAACGGGGTGGGGGGGTGGTGACACCTACCTGGCATGAGCGATGGCTGCCACCCACTCGTCACAATCCTTTGCATCCTCTGTCCGGAGCTCCAAAGCCTTCTGGTTCTCATGGGTGAAGTTCACCGTGAAGTAGTGCTGCGGCGAGAGGAAGGCATCTCCAGTTAGCAGGGAGCTCACGGGTCAGCCACGTCTCCGGCGACCGATCCAACTGCCTTGCCTCGTTTGCACACGACTGCACTATCTGGGATGGTCGGAATGCCATTCTACAAACAGGCTGTCATCCGAGTTAACAAAACCCGTGCTTACGATGCAGGAAGGGGGCAATACCTACAAGCCCTCAGTGCCCACAAATCGCAAAAAGCCAGTTGCAAAACGTCAGGCCCCCCAGGGGCGGGGGCGGGGGCGGGGAGGAGAGTACATCCTGAGAACTCTCCCCTTGGACACTGGGTCCCACTTCATTGCAGCTTGCATTTCATTCACTCTACAAAAGCTGAGAAGCACTCTCCTAGGTGCTGGGGTTACAGCAGGCACAGTGTTGCTGTGGATTCGTTTCTGGGAGGAGGAGAGAGCCCACCGGAAGCTCCCTCCGTCCAGCACAGGTGCTGACAGAGCGCTGAGTCAGCTGGGGGCCCTGTCCCCTGAAAGCCCAGGGCTCAGACTGTAGACCCATCTTTGCACTCCTGTCACATGAGTGAAATACACCTGCAGCTCTTGGAGCAAGGTCCAGCAGTGAGTAGGCACCACGTGTATGCTGTGATGAATGTAGTGTGGTCACTCCTGTAACGGAGGGGCCGGAGACAGCACGGGGAGCTCAGGAGGGCTTCCTGAAGCTGGGGCGTTGGTCCTGGCTCTAGTTCAGTTGATCGGAAGACTGTGGTGGGAGAGGGGGAGACGTCTGAGGGGCAGCCTCAGGGTGCAGAGGGAAGCTGGGAGTGAGGGGAGGCAGGCGAGGGCCAGGGGTTCAAACTGTGCATGTTTCTGGGGCCTGAGCCTGGTGCAACTGGGAGAAGGGAGGCAGGGAGCAGGTGCGGAGCAGGGCCCTTGGGGCTGCCGCTGGCAGGTGCACCTGGGGCAGGCCCCGGGTGGCTCCTTGCCAGAGAGGGTGCCAGGGAGCAGCACAGGGTGCGGTGTGTAAGCTGACGGCAGCCTCTGCTGACGTCACTGTTTCTGCTAACTGTCCGTCAAGGTGGCAGCCGGGGTGTGCGCGAGAGGCTGTTGTGGCCGAGTCAGTCTCTCGCTTGTTTCCTAGGAAACAGACAACTGGGGCTGGGGAAGGAAATGCCAGCCACCAGGGATTGGGGGGGGGGGCTCCAGTGGGCACCCCACCCCCTCGAGAGGGAAGCAGGATGAAAACCGAGCCGCCGGTGGCCGCCAACACCTCCCCTTCTCTCTCTCTCTCTCTCTTTCTCTCTCTCTCGTGTGTACATACTCACACACACACATGAATGCACACTGGTCTCCCATGAGCTCGGTTTCCCCACAGCCACCAAGTGAAACAGGTGTAGTGTGCTTTATAGCTGATGAGCCAGGGCTCAGAGAAGTCAAGCCACTTGTCCAAGGCCACACAGCTGGAAGAACACCTGGCCACAGGCACCCAGCACTGTCTACAGAGATGACAGAGGTGTGACTCGGAGGTGAGACTCTGGGTGCGGGGGTGGGGGCAGCATTACCGCGTCCCTTTAGGCCCCTGGGAGATGCCCCAGTTCCGGATGGGCCCACTGGCACAGCCACAGTGGGAGTGGTCCCTTTTCCCCTGGGTTTCCTGGGGGCGACACAGAGTTCCCAGCCCTGGGGAGGGTTGCGGGGTTGGCGGGAGGGCAGAGCTCAGAGCCACAGGGGAGACTGGGCTTGGCTGGGAAGGGCTGAAGCCACGCTGGAGACCCGCAGCCCCCTGCACCTCGCCCCTGACGGAAATGTGACCACAGCTAGAGAGGGGCACCAGGAAGACCCCACAGGCCTGGCCCCAGCCCTCAGGGACCGCCGTGCCTGACAGGTGCCAATGCTCTCGGACCAGGAGCGGGGCTCCCGGAACCTGCTGGAAGCTTGTCCCTTGCGAACCAGAGACTCCTTCCTGTCACCCCCCCACCCCCAGCCAGGTGCTGCCCATCAGCCTCGGTGTGGCCTCGCCCCACCTGGTCATCACTGCTCCAGGCGGGCCTCGGTCTGGTCTTCCTTGGAGGCAGTGTGCTGGCTCTGAGCCCGGAGGATCAGGTGAAGTAGAGAGGGGCTTTGGGGACAGCTGTGACCTGGGTGGGTCCCCGTGTGTCCTAACAAGCGGGCTGCAGGGACCAGGGTGGCAGTAGAGCATCTCCAGGCCTGGGCCTTGCAGCTGCAGGCGCTCCAGCCAGAAGGCAAAGGGGAACCTGGAGCACCTGCCGTGCCCAGCCTAGGGTGCTCGGTTCTTAGCACACATGTATAGAAAGGGGACAGCAGGAAGGTCGTGGACAATGCGCACATATCCTGCCTCTGGGCAGTGGGAGGAGCACACCCCAGCTTTGCGTGGGGCCCAGGCCAGACAGAGATAGGGCAGGAGACAGCCGTGAGTGGGAGGGGGGAGAGGCGCTCACAGCGGGAACCCTCCCGAAGGCGCAAAGCCCACAGGTGCAGACCGGGTGAGCGCCAGGCTCCTGGAGGATGCTAGGGCAAACCTAATGGAAACCACCAGGTTCTCCCAGCCCCGAGAAGAGAAATCTGAAGAATAGCCAGGGGCATGGGGCCCTACTGTGCGCCTGGCACCGTGCAGGTGCCTCCGTGGGGGACTTGCAGAGGAGGGGACATGACCCCCAGCCCACGGAGGGGCTGAGGTACCTGTAGGAGAGGGGTCCAGGGCACCCCATTGTTCTTTGCCCATCACACGTAAGGGCTCCCTGGGAGCTCTCTGGGGGCTGGTGGCTTCCTGGGTAGGGAAGAAGCGCTGGAAATGGGGTCTGATCCGGTGTCAGCTCGGCAGCTGGCCCAAAGCGTGGCTTGGGCAGCAAGTTCCTTCCTCCTCTTCCCCCCCCTTCCTCCCCCCCCCTTGAGTTTCTTCCTCTGCTGCCCATGAGTTGGGCCCTGAAACTTTTGCGAGCCCCCCACCCCCATACAAATCAGGGGATCGCAAGCAGTTTGAGGGAAGTGGGGCTAAGGGGGAAATTTATCCTGCTGCCCCCAAACACCTGAAATTCACACACAGTAGGGATCGTCAAAGGGTTTACAAAAACATGCATTATGAAAAAGCTATGCATGGACGTTCAAATTGTTTTTGGGCATCGAAAAAACATCTTTTCATTCTATTTTTCCATGAAGCTTTTGCAGTACCCAAGTATGGACATACTCACATCTCACATGCGTCTGTTGAATGTGAGACAGACAGACAGACAGACACACACACAGAGACACAGGTGGAGAGCGTGTTGGGTCTCTGGGTCTCTCTCTCCTTGCAACTTGGACACGCCTCTGGTGGTTCTCAGATGCCTCCTCCCCACCACAGCCCTTGGGAGGCCCTGAATGTGTTTCTGGCTCTTTCTCCATTCAGGGCCAGGTGTGCAGCCCCAGTATGGCCTCGGGGCACTGTGTCCCAGGATCACCCCTGGTGGGGTGCACCCCAACATAGGCCAACCTGAGGCAGCCCCGGCAGGTCCCAAGGAACACTCAGGCTGGAGGCTCAGGTCCGGGTGCAATGCATTTGTCTGGGTCTCCGGGCAGCTTGGCCCAGGCTTGGGGTGGGGGTGTCTGGGACCCTTTTCCTTCTCCCCAGCACCCCGTGCCTGGCTGACCCACAGGCTTTTGGGCAGCTCAAGGTGGGGCTTGGGTTTGCTTTAACTAGGGACTCCAGAGTCCCGCTCTGAGCCTGGTGGGCACAAACGCATGCCTGAGGAATAGGACAGCGGGAAGACGCACAGACTGACTTGCAGGGCACCACTCAGAGGGCACCAGGGCGCTGTGGTCCTTGCCACAGTCAGTCTTGTTAAGGTTGATACGGGCATTGCAGACGGCCCCTCTGGGTACCTGGCACGTGCCAACCCCGCTGCCCTGTGTGGCTGCGCCTTGCACGGACGCAGCCCGTGTGCACAGCCCGGGACCTGGAGTTTGCTGTGCTCCGCTGTTAGCAGGGGTCAGCATCACGGTGGGCTCGCCCCAGATGAGCAGAGCCCTGGGGGCGGGCACTGGGGCGATGCTGGTTTCTCCGGGCCACTCTCTTTCCCACCCCCACCCTGCTCTCCAGCAGGAGCCAGGAATGGAGAAGGTGTCCTGGGGAAGCCGGTTCTGCTGCAGCGTCACAAGTGAGGGAGGCTGAGGATGAGGGGGAAGTGGGCAGAGGGGGGGCTTCCTGTTGCCTCCCAGGGGGCCCTTCAGGTCCCCTCTCCCTCCTCCCTGCCAGCGTTCGGAAAATGTCAAACATTCACAAATTCCAGAGAACTTTTGCGCCAACCCCTGTATCGCCGCCTAGGTGTCGCCGTTGGCAACACCAGCAGAAAAGCTGGACCTTATCAGAGGGTCTTGGGCACGACTGACCCCCACAGAGGACCCCCCACACCACCCGTGGGCGCAGGATGTGTCCTCCGGGCACGGTCTGGGGGGATGGGCCCTCAGCTTGCACAGTTGTGGGGGCGGGGTCTGTAGGAGGCTTAGGGACCTTCTGGGGTTTCCGAGGCAAAGAGCACAGGGAAGTCTTGGCTTGGAGTAAGCCGGGCTCGTGGCTCAGTTTGGGTCAAGGCGTCCACGCCCCACCAGTCCTCACTGGGGGCCCTCTCGGGCTGGGACAGAGCTTCTGGGACAAAGGGACAGAGAGCAAGAAGTGGCCTCAGTGATGGGGGGAGAAGGGACGTTCACATTCCCACACGTCTTGGGTGACAGCAGATGAACAGTGTAGGTGGCACCATGCTAGCCGGCAAATGCTTCTGCCAGCTCTGGGGACTTCCAAATGCTCGCGGGAAAAGTGTTTTATGAAAAAAATTTAGGCACGGATTTCCAAACTGTCTCTGCACCCAAATAAACTTATACTTTAATCCCATTTCCATGATGTTTTTCATTTATACTGATTTCTTTCCATTTTATTTGAGACAAAGATCTTCCATCTGCTAACCCTAACCCTGACACTAACCTGAACTCTAACCTTAAGCCTAACCTAAATGCCCACGACAGCCAGCGCTGGG